ATATATATATATATATATATATATATATATGATCTATATGGCCTAAAATAGTATATATATATAGTATAGACATTATAGAATGAGTCTATATTACTATATACACCGATACTATACTATATTTAGTATATACAGTACATATGGTCTATAAAGTCTATATATATGAGTCTATATATTATAATATTATACAACTTCACAGCCGCCAATTTCAATCGAAATCAAACTCTCGAAACATAAAGTGAAGACTCAAGAATCTTCAGACTAGGAGAATCAGTATTAGATGAGTTTTTGTGAAAATCCTCTTATCTCTAGTTTGATCTATTCTACTATATAGCTTGTAGATCCAAGTTTTCATTTAACTGATTCCGATTCTTGTGTTTCGTTAAATGGTTTTCAAAATTCACAGTGAAACATTTCCGAACTGATGTTCTCTGAACTCTAGTGTTGGTTAATGAACCACGACGAGAATTTTTGAATAAAATTGAGCTTAGACTTATTTTGCAGGAACTCGTTTTGCGGCTGTTTCTGTCAGTTACTGTTATTCCATGCACCAGTTCGTTTCATTTGGCAAACGCAGCACTCACATTGCACTACACAACACTGTTTTTCTTGTCGTTGTTTAGCACCGCAACTGACACACGCACACACACACACACACTTTTCGAACAATTTCTGTGACATTGTTTTGTGTTTTCTAAAAGCAATTTACAAAAAAAAAAAAAAACTTTTTTCATTCTTTCTTAATGTTATTCTGTGATAATTTGTTTGTTTCGTTGTTTCGCGTGTTTTTTTCTTTCTTTTACCACCGTCCGTTGCGTCCGTTAATCTGTCACACACACACACACACGCGCACACACACGTATACGACAACGCACACTTAGCACAAAGCACGTTAGCACGCGCACAAATGTAGGCAATAGTTTTTTTTTAACCATACGAAAGTTCTGCATGTGCAGCCAAAGACACACGCACACACACACACACACACACAGACAAATAACAAGAACACACCACAAGTTATCCGCTCTGCTCACCCTTCCTCTCTAGAGAATATATGCACTCACACACACATATACATATACATATATAAATACCTGCAAATCCCGCAATGCGCTCGCACTTTATTGTAAATACCGTTCGAAAGCGGGCTATAAACAACTGACTTCATTGTAACCGTACTGCTCTCTATTTATCTCTCTCTCACACACACACACTCACTGTCTCACTCTATCCACCTGACGCGCGCCCTAACCTCAATGATTCTTAAGAAGAAAAGCAAAATGCATAAAATCCAAGCAATTGAAGAGCATCAAAGCCAAGCGTCGATTTCCTGGAATTTAATAAAAAAAAAAAAAGAAATAAAAAAAATCAAAAAAAAAAAAGAAGAAAAATCTGAAATAATTATGAAATAGTTGAGGCAGGCCAAATTGGAGCTCGAATTTGAATTCGAATTCGATATCGAAGTCGGTTCGCTTTAACCTTCTTTTTAATAGCTAATGCTAGTTACCGCTGCCCACTAAATGTTACCGTTACTTAATTACCGTTACTATTTATGATTTATTACCGTTATCACAAGCAACAACAACACGAAGCCGAACAAACAAAGTAGAGAAAAGTAAAATGAAAACGAAAACGAAAAGGAAAACACAAAACAAAGCAGATAATTATACTCGCTCCCTCTCTAAATATATGAATATACAATATACATGCATATATGTATATCTTTCTCACTCTCTCGCTCTGTGTGAACCCTATGTAGTTGTAGAGGCGTGCAATCAATCAATCAATCAATCTATGTATCGTATGTTATGTATGTATGTGCCTTGCTGTGCAGTACCTCAGGCCCCAGTTCCAGTACGCTCAAGTCTATATGTAGGACAAAACTGAATTCAAAACAACAACAACAACAAAATATATATATAATGAAAAACTAAAAAGAAAAAAGAAAATCATAAGAAAATATAGAGAAAATCGACATTTGGATGTTATGCTGTTCTTCAATCGACTACAAAACAAAAGAAATCTAATTATCAAATGAAAACCGACCTTAGTTGCCCTCTAAAAAAAAAAAAAACCAAAGAAAAAAAAACAAAAAATATATGTAAAACAAAAGCAACCGTTAGACCAAATAACCTAACTGCACATTCGGCTTGTATTGCTAGCTCGCTCGCACGCACGCATGCATCGGCTGCACAATGCTAACGTAGACATAAGTGATGGCAATGCTAATGCTAATGATAATGCTAATGATATGCGTAGACCTGTAGCACTAAGTGTAACTGTAGTCTGTAAGTGTAACTGTAACTGTAACTTGCTGCATGCCCTACGCCTCGTGTGCACGTCTTCTTCTTCCAGCAATTAGCCCGCATTTTGATTTTGATATTTGAGACTTGAAGTAGTTTATTTTGTATTCTATAGCACATCTAGACATCTAGAGTCTATTGTCGAATCTCTGTCTCGCATATATATTACGTATCCGTATACTAACTGTACCTTTCTCTTTGTTTCTCTTTGATCTATCTCATTCGCTAACTACAGATCAACGATCTCAATGCTCAAGTTAACGATCTTCGCGGCAAATTGTAAGTAGTTGGGATTAGTCTTAAGATACGCTTGCAGCTCTATGTAAAGTCTATATATAGTCATCTAATCTCGGGATTTAGTAAATTTATAAAACTGATTTGTGCAAAATTATCTTTCTAAAGCTAAAAACGAATGTCTTCATCAATCTTCAGTAAGAAAGCTCAAGTAAAAGCCGAGTTCTTATAGATAGTTGATGAGAATCCACTGCAAATTTATAATATATTAGCTGCAAGCGTATAAGGACTACATGAATTTTATTCTGAACTGTGCTCATCCCATCTAATCTCTATAAATTCCATATATAGCGTTAAGCCAGCCTTGAAGAAGGTGTCCAAATACGAAAACAAATTTGCCAAGCTGCAGAAGAAGGCCGCTGAATTCAACTTCCGCAACCAATTGAAGGTGGTCAAGAAGAAGGAGTTCACATTGGAGGAGGAGGAGAAGGAGGTAAGTTCGACGAGATCACTAGACAGACATAGGCTAAGCATTCTAACTTGATATAAACGATATACAATATACTATACTATACTATACTATGCTATACTATATACGCTACGATCAACAAAATTGCTGTGAACGCTCCAATAGAAAAAGATAAAAGATGCCTCTTCTCTAAAGCAAGCCAAAAAGTGTAAGAAATGTGTGAAATGATGAAATGATGTCTGTTTAATGTTCGAGCACCGAGTGTCCTCCAAAATTTACATCACTTTATGTATTACACACACTCTATCTGTATCTCTATCTCGCTCACTCTCTATCTATCTATCTATCTATCTCTATCGCTGTCTCTATCTCAATCTTTATCTCTGTGCAACTGTTTGTCTATTTATCTGGTACACACAACACAAGAACCTCTATTTAGTCTAGTCTCTCTCTCTCTCTATCTATCTCTCTTTCTCTATTTGTATGTATGTATGTATGTCTCTGTAGTTTGTAGTCTCGTAGTGCCCACAGCACAGCTCGTAGTGAACTGTTCCGGAATGTATTATATTCTACGTATTTATGTATTTACAAAGATTTGACAACACTAATATATTTCTTCTCTACAACTCTATGTTCTCTGTTCGACTTGGATATGCGCAGAAGAAACCCGACTGGTCCAAGGGCAAGCCCGGCGATGCCAAGGTAAAGGAGGAGGTTGAGGCCGAAGCTTAAGTGTCCACGTCCACGTAGTGTCCACTGTACCACCCGTGACTCCCGCCCTAAACAATAATAATTCAATACAATACAATTATTTCACCACAAACAAAACAAACAGAATACAAAACAAAAAGAAAAGAAACAAGAGAACAGCAAATCGACATTTATCTGATATCAAGCAAGATCGACCTGTATATATATCACGGTATATACGCGCAAGCACACATGTATATCTAGATATATGTGCGTGTCAGTATATGGTATATCTGTGCGTATATCCTATATTTATGAAGTCAGGATCAGTGAATGCGACAAACATTTCAAGAAAGAAAACACCAGCTATCGAAAATAATTCACATCATGAAGGATTCGAACCAACAGCCCAACATCTGAACGCTCTGATGAATTATTTTTTATTATATTTCATTAATTACAAATTCTATTTTTTAATGTAAATTAAACTAAATTACAAAAAAAGAAAAACATGCATACCTCTTACTATTATTATTATTATTATTGTTATTATTATTTTTTTTGGGCTCACTTTCCTCTCTCTCTCTCTCTTTCTCACTCTCTGCACTTGCACTTGAGTTTCCCGCGTGTCCTTTAGCTACCTCGTCTGCAGTTTGGTTTGCCCGGTCGATTGATTCATTTGAGCTGTTGTTTGAACTGGTTCTGGTTCTGGTTCTCTGCTTGCAGGAACAGCCGCAAGAGACACCAGCGCCAGCATAGTGAGCCACGCCTCCACTCCACTCTACTCTCTCCATCCCGCTGGACTGCAAACCGATCCAAACTTGCAATTTGTACTTTTATTTTCGACCAATAAAACACTATATAAATAATGAATATATCAATTGCGACTACGAAACCTTGGCTGAACTTTGGATACATGAAGTCTAATACTTGAACCGTCGATCTCTCTTAATGATCGAAGCACTTTTAAACGGAACTATTTATTTCGATCGACTCCGAAATCAGACTTTGAATCTATAGAGCGTAGTCTATGCCCATTTGATCTTCAAATTTTTAAAGTTTAGATGATATTTGGTATGAGAATGAAATCAATTTCCCATCTTATTCGAGTCTTTGTTATTGAAAGAAACGCACATCGAAGCTGAATTTTGATTCAAAAAGGTAAGCTAATAATTTCAAGAAGTATTCCGAAAGATCCTAATTTCGAAAGAAGCTAAAATTCGAATATTGAATTGTCGAATACTATATTAACTTTTTACTAACCAAATAAGTAATTAATATATTAAAATTGGATTTTCGAATTGAGCTAAAAGAAAGAGCAAGGAATGTCATCTATAATAATATAATACAGTCGACTCTCGTTATACCAATCCTGCGATATTTCAAACCTCTCATTAATTCAAAGATATCACGAGTCTCCTACGAAATCTCTTTATATTTCGAATTATGACCATACGGCTCTATGCACTCAGTACACTTTAAAACGAAACTGATGAAACAGCATATTAGGCACTTTTTTCTCCATAAAAAAGAATTATGGAAAAGTCGTAACAGCGCTTTGTGTTTCGAAGCAAACCCGAAGAAATGAGTTCTTTTCAATGATTCAATAATTTGAGCATGCGTTACGAATATGTAAACTATCAGCAGTATTTATAAATAATATAAAATCCCCTGATAAGATAACTCGAAGTTTTATTTATATTCTCTAAAAATGTTCAAACCATTTTATATTTTAAGCATTCGATAATTCGCAATATCTCAAGAGTCCCTCAAGTCTCGAAATAACGAGAGTCGACTTCACTTTTCCTTTGTATTCATATAATTTCGTATAATTTACAACTCATGCTACGATTGCTCCAAGGAAGAAGAGATATTAGGGACCTCGAATTAGTAAGACCCCGAAATGAGATTAGTTAATGGATTACCACGCCATCTAAACTGAACAGAAGATATTTATTGATTTTATAGAAAATAATTGTTTTTAAGACTCGAACTTAAGCCCATTTATTAATTTTATTTGTCAATAATAATAATTAAATATATTTTTGGCTTAGATTTTCGAAATCTTGTGAACAGACCGAGAAATCCGTAGAAGACTCCAACCTTTCCGGATGTCGATTATACAGTAAAACAGTCTATATCAATTCAGTTTACTTTTTATATATTTTGTTTTTATTGTGTTTTTCGAATAGCTTAGGAGATTTTTGTGTGTGCGGAAATTGGTAGCACTTAAACTAACTGTATTCTTATATCAATATATATCGTTATCGATGAAACGAGCTCAATTCTTGTCGGTGCAGTAAACATAATGAATTAAAATTAAGCTGCGAATTAAAGTTAATAGTTGAACGACTTAACTAAGATCTTAACTAGTTTCTATGACTTTCGCTAGTCAAATGGGGGCGTGGTCTGGGGGCACTACTCACTTATATGGTTAGGCGTAAATGTGTGCGAATTGTCGTTGGCGTCAAGCAGCTAAATAAATAAATAACACCAGATATACAGACATCTGTATAATCGAGCGACTAAATACAACTAAAGACCTAAGACTAAATTCTAAATAAATTAGCAAAAAAAAAAAATAATAATAATTATAATAATAATAATCATAATCATAATAATAAAGGAAGTTTGTTTTATTCGAATTACGATAGATGTACTTAGAGCGAGGGCGAGGGCTGTTTGGGTGTTTGGTGTGGGGCCGTGGGGCGTGGCTTAGGTCTAGACCTCAATACTGTTTAGACTGCCCGACGAGATGTTGTCCGTGTGGCTGCCCAGGCGCGTTCGCTTGATCAGAGCCCGCGCCGGCATCGGCGAGCGCTGGACGCGCGGACTGCCCGGGACGTGGGGTATGCCAACATTGTGGGGATGGTGGTGTGTGGCGTGGTGGTGCAGCAGGTGGTGCGGCACATTGTTGTTGTTGTTGTTGTTACTATTGTTGTTGTTGTTGTTGTTGCTGCTAATGTTATTGTTGTTGTTATTGTTGTTGTTGTTGTGATGATTATTGAGATTTGTGTGGCTATTGTGCGGCTGGCTGCCAGAGGCGCGTCGCTGCCGACGCAGCGAAGGTATGCGCGTGGGCGTGGCCTGCCCATCATCCAACCCATAGCTCGGATGTTGCTGTTGTTGCTGCAGGCTGCGTACGCTGCGCTCCAGCGTGCGTCGCTGCTGATCCAACATGGGCGAGGCGCCGCCTGCTCCCAGCTGCTGTTGCTGCTGCTGCTGCTGCTGCTGGTAGTAGGTGGCGTGCGGTGGCACGGGTGGCGGCGCCTGCAGCTGCTGATACTCGTGGCGCTTGTGTGAGAAGGTGGGCGTGCCGGGCGCATGATAGGGCTGCGCATGATGCAGTCCAGGCTGGTGCAGAGCGGCGGCCGCAGCCACAACCATTGCATTGCCCTGAATGAGAAAGAGGGAGACAGAGAGAGAGAGAGATATTAGTGTGACTGAATAGGCGGCTGTGGGTGGCATGTGTGGCATGCAACAAGTGGTGGCTGGTGGCTTGGCAACAGGATTTCAAAAACGTTTCTCAACTCCCAAATTTCTTCGCTTCTCTTTCTTCTCTGTATTGTATTTACGTTTTGCTGTTGTTGTTGTTGTTGTTGCTGCGCTTTCGCTGCGGCTGTCTTTTTGGGCAGCGGCGGCAGTGGCTTGCTGGGCGCCTCCGTGGCCACTGCCATCGATGGCGACTGGGATTGGGATTGGGACTGGCTGAGACCGTCGCATGCCTCCAGAGTCTCGCAGGAGGATGAGGCGCATGTCTGAGCCTTGTCGCTGACTGCATTATCCGCATCTGCATCCGCATCCGCGTCCGCATTGGCTTCCGTTTCGGCATCGACATCCGCATCCGCATCCGCATACGTATCCGCGCCAGCAGCCGGCTCGACGTGCCGCGCTGCCTGCTCCGGTGCAGCGCCGGCGGGGATGCCGTTGGCAGGCGGCAGGAAGCGTAATTCCATAACATTGCGATTCTGGAACAGGGGACGCTCAGTTTGGCAAAATGGCGAACGAGTCGAGGGGAGAGCGACAAGCGAGAGAAAGACTGACAGAGAGAGAGGGGAGAGGGAAAGAGAGAGACCAAGCAACCCGCGAAGATCGAAACGAGACGAAGATAAGGAGAAGCAGCGGAAGACGAGAAATATAAGCGATAAACCAGCAAAAGATGCGACGGAAGCAATAGAAACGAAGAGAGAAGAAAGAGAAAGAGATAGAGAAAGGAAAACCCACAGAAAATATAGTTGGAATCTTATACAAGCGAATGGTAAACGATCGAAGGAATTCGTAAAGTGAATAAGAAAATGAAAAGTGAGCATAGAACGAAAGAAATAGAGACAGAGAGATAGAGAGAAAGAGAGAGAGATAGAGACAATAAGCACTGGAACACGATGTGTGAGGGCAGCAATGAAAGACATACATAAATAACCAAAGGAAAGAAAGAGAGGAAAGTTAGGAAATCAGAGAAAGAATCTCTAGAAATCGAATGGCAAGAGAAACAAGCAAAAAATGAGATATATATGAAAAGAAGAGATAAAGACAAAAGTACAGGAGATAAGCTCTAGAATAAGCTGGTAAAAAGCAAAAAGAAAGAGCAAGATTGAAAGAGAAAGAGAGAGAAAGGCTTATACATGGAAATGGAACTGAAGATGGAAACAGAAAACACAAACAAAGAGTAAAAGAAAGAATTTGTCAACAACAAAAGAATAAAGATTACTGAGGAAGTGACCGATCAATAGAGAAATAGTCGTCTATTTTCGCTAAGAATATCGATATCTTTTTTCCACCGTGAATACACCTAATGATATTCAATATTGCCAAAGATAATTCATTTTATGATTCAGCTCAGCTTCGCGTCAGATGAATGCGAGGCATGTTAACAACCTGCTAATGACTCAGCTCTGTCATGCTAATGCTATGTTAATGCCATGTAAATGTCGTCTTAATGTTAAGCTCTCAACCATTCGCAATAATCACATTTTGATCCACTTAAAACGATATTATGATAAATAATACCCGCTTGGAGTGTCAGAAATGTATCAGAAATGAATTTTTAAGTTGAATTTGCTTCTAATACACAGATAAAGACATATAGATAACAAATATGAGATAGGAATATATATTTTGCGTAATGCTAAGCTCTTCTTTGAACACTTTAAGGAAATCCAGGCGGAAATCGAAAATGTTCAACTGACAACATGGAGTTATTTTGCGCCGAGTTTGATCTAGCAGTTTCTAGACCTATCAAATTTCTAAGAACTCTGATATAATCCTTCTAATTTACCGCAAGGATATATGCGAAAATGGGAATAGGATAGCTTGGGGCAGGATTACAGACTTAGTCAACTACAACAGAGACAAAAGAGTAACTCAGAGGGAGCGAGAGAGACAGACAGGGGGCAAGAGAGACAAAGATTTTGAGGCGAGGCAAAGGGAGAGGCAAAGACAAAAGCGAAGTTGAGGCGAGAAACGTTTTAAAATTTTGACCAAGCAACCAGCGAAAGGTTTTTTTGACTTTTTTTTTGTTCTTTGTATATCTCTAGACATTTTTGATTTAAAGCCATAATTGGAAAGCGGATCAGTTGTCCGGATACTGTGAGAGCGAGAGTAAGTGGAAAAGGGGAGCAGATACGAGTGCTTACCTTGTCGGCCGCGGGGTCCTGGGCGAGGGGGTTCGGCGTGATGTTCATGCGCGGAATGACGCCGTTCAGGCGCCGCAGGTCGCCTGGCTTGTGGCCATGGCCGTGATTGTGATTGTGATGCGGTGCCACGCCCAGCACGGCAGATGTAACAAAGTCCGCTTGAATGTGATCCAGTTGCGGCTTGTTCTCATCTAAAACAGAGAGAGATGAGAATGAGGAGCGCTCTTAGATGACAGCACGGACAGCACAGGACTTACCCTCGGGCTGAGAATTGTTGCGACGGCGCAGGCAGAGACAGGCCACGGCAATGGCTATGAGCAGGAGAAGGCCGCCACCAGCGGCGCCAGCTATGACCGGGTAGATGGAGTTCTCATGCTGTTCCGACGATTTGCCGTTCGGAGCAGGCGCAACAGCGGGCGGCGTTTGGCTCGCAGACTCTGCAGGGGAATAGAATGGAATGGATGCATTAGGTACACAGATAGCTCGGGTGCTGCTGCACTCCACTCACTTGTCGTGCGGCCTTGCTTGATCTCGCTGAACTCGGAGGCGGCGTGCGCATTGAACGACTGCAGTTTGAACTCGTAGGCGGTGCCCGGCTCCAGTTGGTCGATCTTGAAGCGCCTCGCATGGCCGCCGTCGACAGTCGCCTTCAGGTAGTCGGAGGCAGAGGATGCCGGACGGTAGTAGGCGTAGTAGCCATCGATGTTGTGCAGCTGGGCGGCTGAGGTCGATGCGAGAGTCCAGTGGAGCACGACGGCCGATTCCGAGTAGGATTCAATCTCGCGCAGCTCGGGCACGGGTAGATTGGACTTGGCCGCGCCGCGACGCAGGAAGAACTTGGCTGAGGTGTTGCCCTCCTTGTTGTCGTTGTTTGAGTATACGGCAATGATGCGGAAGCGGTAATTCCGATCCGGACGCAGGCCCGTCACAGACGATGTGAAGCTCTTGAGGGCCGGCTCATGATGGTCCCGCTGATGATCCCGATCCCGATCTCGATCCCTCTCCCGCTCGCGCTGCTGCTGCCTGCCATAGGGTATGTTCTCGTTGGTTGTTTGCCAATCCTCACGAGGAATCTTGCGGGCGTTGTCGCCGAGCATTCGATATTGGACTTTGAAGAACTGTATGGGCAGACCATCGTTCTTGGGCACGTTCCAGCGCAGCATGACGGCATCGTCGGCCAGTCGGGTGACATTGGGTCGCGATGGCGGCACCATATTCGCTGCAAACGTAATTTTTTCATTTTAATATCAAATTTAACTCGACTTTTGCTTAATTCTTTGTCGTTCAAGTGTTGGTTAATGGCGTTGACGCAAGCAGTGCGCGCAATGTTAACGCAAAAGTGAGTCAGCTCCGCGCAGAGCGGAGCACCCAACCACTGTTAATGGCACTGTTAACAGCATGAGTAGTATTGCGCTGTTGTATTGAGTAGTATCGCTGTACAGCGTTGAGTAGTATTGTCATAGCTGCGTACGCGTTTTGAGCGGAATTTTTTTTGGTTACTGGTGGCTCTGCCTGCCACACATATATGTACATATATATAAAATGAACCTCAGCCAGCCAGCCCGCGCATTTACATTAAATGCCAAACTTAATTAAATCAGAAGCAATTTTGTGCGGCAAACGTGTGCAGCTGCTAAGCATAGCAATATTTCCATAGACATTTGTGGTGCAATATAAAGTGGCAATTCTCTTCCTTAGTGGCAAGCTAGACGGCCCGCGGACCGCGGACATCGGACAACGACAACAGACAAAAACGACTCACACTGACGCTCACACAGGCGCGCGCGCGCTCGCTCGCCTGCTCGCCAGCTAGCTAGCTCTCGCTCTCGCTCTCACTGTTTATGTGTGTTTATGTGCGTGTATGAGTGCGGCTATGTGTGTGTATTTGCAAAACGAGTGCAATTGATTTTCGTATTTTACTCGCTACTCGGCATCACTATTTAGCACTCGCACTCGAACTTGTACTCGGTATCGGACTCTGACTCCGACTCGGACTCGGTCTCGGACTCGTTTTTGTTCTTGTTTGTTCATTTGCTCGCTCACTCGTTTGATGGCTTGCTAACCAATTCGGAACTCGCTCGCGAACAGTCACTCAAGTGGTTCGTGCGGTTCATAAACAAACTCAATTCTGAAAAACTCAAAACAAAAGAAGAAAAACAAGTGGAGGAAAAATAAAAAAAATCGCACAAACAAACCATAAAAGAGAAGATATCTGCGATTGAGCTAGGATGTCGGCAACCGGAGATGCTGGAGCCGGTGCCGCCAATGCCAGCAACAATGTGACCGTCGTCCAGGCGACGGTCAACGTCAGCGGCGACGGCAGCCCCACCAACAACAGCAACAACAACTCAAATGCCAACAACAGCAACTCGAACAACAATGGCTCAACAGCCGGCAGCTCGAAGGGCCAGATGCCGCTCACGCCCCGCTTCACCGCCGAGGAGAAGGAGGTGCTGTACACGCTGTTCCACCTGCACGAGGAGGTGATCGACATCAAGCACAGGAAGAAGCAGCGCAACAAGTACTCCGTGCGCGAAACCTGGGACAAGATCGTGCGCGACTTCAACTCGCATCCCCACGTGAGCGCCATGCGCAACATCAAGCAGATTCAGAAGTTCTGGCTGAACTCGCGGTAAGTGCATCGCGCCTCCAATTTATCTAAGTCTAATCTTTGGGACTCCCTTGCAGCCTGCGCAAGCAGTATCCGTACAGGGACGGCAGTGGGTCCGGCGGCAGTTCGGGCATGGGCAAGGGGAACGCCATCTCGGCCAACGCACAACAGCAACAGCAGCAGCAGCAACAACAACAGCAGCAGCAGCAGCAACAACAGCAGCAGCACCACGACAACGTCAAGGTGGAGCCTGAATATCAGATTAGTCCGGATGCCTCTGAGCACAATCCGCAGGGCGACACCTTCGACGAGATCGAAATGGACGGCAACGACGTTAGCGAAATGGAGGACGATCCGCTCGAGGCGCAGCAGCAGCAGCAACAACAGCAACAGCAGGCGGCGCAGGCCCAAGTGGAGCAGCAGCAGTCGGCTGTCGCCGAGATGCAGAAGCTGCAGGTGAGCGCTGCAGTCGCTGCTGCCAATGCGAGCATGTTGAACACGCATCGCATCAACGTCGACTCCATAAGTGCCGAGAAGCTGACGCTGACCGATCTGCTGCACTTCAAGCCGGCGCGGCCGCGCGAAGAGATCATATTGCAGATCAAGCATCCCACCGATGCGACAGGTGAGTTGAGCTGAACGCAATGGCAATGGCCAATCGTTGTACTTAACTCTGTTCCTCTCTGTTCGCTCTCCCCTTGGCAGCCACGCAAATCCACACGATACCCACACAGCCGCAGCAGCACACGATGGCCACCATCACGGCCGGCGGCTACAATCAGCAGATCATCAGCGAGATAAAGCCGCAGCAGATAACGCTCGCCCAGTACCAGGCGCAGCAGCAGCAGCAGGCGCACGCACAGGCCCAAGCGCAGGCCCAGGCCCAGGCCCAGGCGCAGGCGCAGGCCCAACTGGCTCAGCAGCAGCTGGCGGCGCAGCAGCAACAGTTGGCGGTGGCGGCGGCAGCCGCGCACCATCAGCAGCAGCAGCAGCAGCAACAGCAGCAACAACAGCAGCAGCAGCAGCAACAAC